GCATCATAGAACAGGTTGTTTTTGTTTTGGTTGCAGTCAAGCATAAATATACACAATGGGCTATCTTTACTCTGCCCATCATGAATATCAATACCCGGTTCCTAGCGGTATAGGTCCGCAGACATCCCGCTGCGCCACTGGGGGAGGGGGCATAAAAGAGAGAGAAAACACATCTAATAACGAGCAATAAATAATTTGTTTAAACTCAAAATTATCGGTAGGGTCTCATTGGTTTTGTAAACATATTTTTCTGAACTAACTTTGCACGAACTTGCTTGAGGGTCCAGGACTTTGTTAGTTAAGAGGATTCTCTATTGCATGGATCACACACACAAAAGTTAAACAACATTGTCATCACTATTGCAATTAATTACTACTTGGATCCTTTACGTAATTTACATGGAAATTATGTAACTTTGCATGGATTGTTTGGCCAGTTCCTTATACTGAAAGCTGTAACAGAACAAAACATAATATTACTCAATACGTAGGTAGCATATGTTACAAGAACGAAGCAATGTTGCCCGCTTAACATTCAGAACGTGCTGAATCATATTTTCAAGGTGTGAAACTTTAAACTTCTACCAATTAACACGACAGTATAACTAAATTACACGCTTATATTTAATATGTACTTTAAACGTTGTGAAATAAAAATCGTAATTTATGAACGTTATATCATCACTATATATAAAAGCCAAGTGTCGGTCAGTCACACTCGATTTCTCTAAACTTAGTGAGTTAAACGAGTCCAATTCCACTTTTTTCTCCTATAACACTTCCTATTTTGATTGCCGTTCCAATTTTAGTTGAATTTAATCGCTAACATAGGCGTAAATAACTCATAAATATTGGCACTTTTTCTGCCATATATATAAGCCTGTCAAGGAGGAGGTTTCCAGGACCAGATCAGGCATGGTGTTATGTGTGCGACACCACATCATCCACAGCATTATGACGTCAAGCTAGGTAGGACTTCAGTGAAAAAGAAATCACAAATTAGTGCAAATTTATACTTGGTAATTATTATGAAAAAGCCTTTGTTAAAACAGACTGAAGATACCAATTATCTATAGGGAAGATGGCGACTTTTCCTCAGAAGAAGAACAAGGGCTTATTCAATCATATGGTCATCATATGTTTTAATGTTTTATTTAAAAAACACCAATATGTAGTGGATTCAGAAGCAATATGTAGCATGTTCCTGGGGAAGGTAATTGTATATTTCTTTTATTTATTTGTTTGCCTCAAATATATATATAAAAAGTTGTCGTCGTTGAGAAAATTCGCTCGTCTTCTCCTCATTTCTGTGGATAGCTACCCTCGCCAACAGTGCTTGATATATGTATATATACTAGCGTAAAAGCCCGTCAAAAACCACTAGACAACAAAACTATTCTATATAAAACTGGCAATACCCTCCAGCAAACACACAGATACAAATTACACGCTCTTCAGTTACTACTAAACACAGGCTCATAGTACAGCTGGTCCAGCATGGCCACGTGGTTAGGGCACTCGATTCGCAATCCGCGTTATAATGTGACGGTCAATCCCACTATTTGTTGGTAAAAGAGTAGCCCAAGAGTTGGCGACGACTAGCTGCCTTCCCTCTAGTCTTACACTGCTAAATTAGGGACGGCTAGCACAGATAGCTCTCATGTAGCTTTGCGCGAAATTCATAACAAACAAACAAACATTGTTCAGCTTCTTAATTAATATTCTATTAGTCTATTAATATTCACCTCCGATCAGAGCATACCACGTACTCACTAAAAATCAACCTGGTAATGAGTAAAGTTAATTATATATACATTTGTTACGTTCTTATTTAGAATGAGTTAATTGTATACCCTCGCTGTTAACGATATTTTTGGCCGTAATTCCAATAATATCTCATAAAATTCGGCAGCTTAAGTGATTTAGGTTAGTCCTAAACATATATGTTAAGCTAACAATATAAAAAATCTCGATAATAAAAGTATAATAATAAAAAATACAGTTAAGAAGTAATAGAATACTGTTACCAATACTGTTAATGAAAGTAAAAAAAACAGTAATTGCATAACTCCAAAACGCTAGCTGTTGGCTTCAAACACTGTTGTAGATCTAATGTTCGTTGAACAACATAACATCAATATAACCATTTATAAACAAAACATTCACAATCCTGCCTAAAAACGTATTGCGACCAATGAAAACTCATTACATAGTTCCGATAGTGTAACTTTAGACTTAGAGGAACGTGGCCTCTGAGATCAGTTACCGCGTGATACTGTTTACATGTGGACTCAGGGAACAGAACATTATCAAGAGTGCAGTCAAAACTAATGTTTATGAAGGGTGAAAATGACAAATTAAATGAGTACTTGATTCGTACAAGAAATACCTAGAATGTTGTTTGGTTTCTGCGTTTGTTGCTAAACGCAAAAGTCTATCTGTGCTGTACTTACCGTGAGTATTGATGTTCCACCAAATGCAAAACATCACTTTCTGTGGATGGAGTCCAGGTTTGGGGGTCGGAAGTGGTTTTTGTCCAGGACTGAGCCATTGTTTGTTGGCGTTTAATATTCGCATAGAAAATCCATCTTTCATCACCGGTGACAATTCTGTCCAAAAATAGTTCACGCGCATTACGCGCCAGAAGAGACGAAGCAACGTTCACACATTGGAAACGATGATCATCGGAGAGTTCGTGAGGCACCCAAGCACCTTTATGGAGTTTTCCCACATTTCTTAAATGCTTACGTATTGTTTCATCAGAGACATGCAATTTCATGGCCATTTCACGAGTTCGTTGCCTTGAGTTAGACTAACAAGCGCCTTCAGAGCATCGTTATCAATTCCAACATGTCGGCCCCTGCCATCACAGTTTTTAAGGCTAATGTCACCATAACAAAATTTTTCTGAACCATCGTTGACACATACGAACGTTCAAAACATTTCCATAAACTTATTTGATATTCTTTGTGGCTACAGAGACGTTCTTTCC